TCATTGTTGTTTGGCGGGCCCGGGCTGGATTCGAACCTGCCACCTTAGGTGTATGTGGCTGGTGCCTTAGCCACTTGAGCCACAGGCGCCGAGCTTTTTGATTGGTTTTTGAGATGAGTCTCAAGCTGTTGGCCTGGGTAGAGAACTATGATGTCATAGCTCACAGCAACCTCCAAATCTTGGGCTCAAGCAATCTTCTTGCCTCAGTTTTTTCTGTTTCTTTTTTTTTAAGCAGAGATGGTGGGGGGGGTTGAGCCACCATGCCTGGCTGTATGAATTTTAAAGAATTTTTCAGATTCAATAAGAATATGGAAATTGAGGATAATCATAGAAATAGGAATTGAATCTAAAGTAAAGACAAATCAAAAAATGGCCCATCACCTCTCCTCCTGGTTAATACACCAATGAAAATGGTAATCAAGTATTATTTTCTCCATATTTAACACAAAGGCTTCTAGTCTTTTCATGAATATTGGCTTTACATCTGAAACAAACAGGATTGAGGTTGTGAACATCTCAAATATTTTACTACTTTATACTAATTATAAACATATATATATATATATATTTTTGAAAGTCTATGTTGCCCTCAGTTAAGTGATGTGCTATCACAGCTCACAGCAACCTCTAACTCTTGGGCTTAAGTGATTCTCTTGCCTCAGACTCCCAGGTACTTGGGACTACAGGCATCCACTACAACACCCGGCTATTTATTGTTGCAGTTGTCATGGTATTTATCTGGCCCAGGCTGAGTTCAAACCCAACAGCCTCAGTGTATGTGGCTGGTACTGTAACCACTGTGCTCCAGGCACCAAGCCTAATTTTTTATATATATATATTTTAACACTAAGAAATTGGTAGCTCGGCTCGGCGCCTATAGCTCAACCGGCTAGGGCACCGGCCACGTACACCTAAGGTGGCGGGTTCGAATCCCCAGCCTGGACCCGCCAAACAACGACGGCTGCAACCAAAAAATGGCCGGGCGTTGTGGCGGGCGCCTGTGGTCCCAGCTACT